CAGACTGGGAATATGCTAGCAAGTGCATTGAACATTAGCCCGCGCCCTGGTGTGTGTGTGTGGGGGGGGGGGAGGGGTGCGTTTGAAAACCCCTTGCAGTTTTCCGCAAATTTCAAAAAGAAAAGAAAACGGCAACACTATGCGCCATCGCCTTAGGACTATGCACCGCCGATCTCGCCTAAGGAAAAGTTCTAATGCTCGTCATAGCTATACCAACAGAATGATCGCTTTGAAACTTTAAGCTAGTGGTAACGGCATTATTATGCATACAATTTAAATATCAGAATTCTGATATTGGCGACCTAAAGTCAGGCCAATTTTGCGACAATTCTATTAGGTAAAATCAATGGGAGAAAATTAATCTGTGCTTCTTTTGGGTGAAAGTCATTCTAAGCCCACTCAATCATTAGGTAGGTAACAGCTGGTAGCTGAACATGAAATACCGAATCGGAAAATTGCGCCCCTGACTCCTCGTTGTGCCCCTGAGTCATCTCAGGTCATGAAAGGTCCCCAGCAGTTTGTCTACAATAACTTTTAACAGAGGTACGCAAGAGCGACGAAAACACCTTAGATGTGCAGTTCAGCTCCATGATACAGATCAACTGAAAGGCAATGTGTCCTTTCCCAGTCAGGTCATGATCTTGACTTAGGGCAAGTTTCCAAGCTGACCTTTTTAGGTTAAATTACAGTCCTTCTACACATCTCAATGAGAGGAGCACAATGCTGGTAAAATCTGTGTTGTACGCCCTCTGCAGGCTCAACTGTTGATTTATGGTCAAATTTGAGGACAAAGTTCAGAAAGAGGATAAAAAGCTATTGAATGCACTTCTCCGCGGCGATGTAGCTCTATTCGGTCCTAAGTTGAGCACAGGTTCATAGAAAATTGCTGACATGAGCAAAATGTGACCTCTGATTATCTCTGGTACATGGCCTTTGAACTGACATAACAATTACTGAAGTACCTTCTAACCCCACCCACTATGTGTCACTATGTGGCTCAGGAGCAGAGTTAGGCATGAAGGGGTGGGGGGGGGGGGCATTCCATTACCATCTAGCAGGGAATCAAAATCCAGGAGCCCAAGTGAGGTGCAGGTTGACCAAGCATTATTCAGTGCTTTTCTCAGTGATATATCCCTCAAGCACTGCAAATTTGTTTACTGCCATGACTTACCCAGGTCCTGTTTGAGCTGCTGCTCACTGGGCTGTTCAGTGTCTGATGGAGCTGTGATCAGCGTGTAGCATGGCTGCTCAGTCGCCATCACTGTTCACACTAGATTGTGGAACTGCTGCAAACACAGGGAATTAAATGTCACTTACAGTGTGATTATGGACAATAACATGTCTGTCTATGTTCATAAATGGCTAACTTACGACAGTTCAACAACAGCCTGGTCAACACACACTATTCTGTAAGTTGATAAATTGCAACAGACCTCACATTGTATTGAAGACCAAGAGGTCTCACTTAGCATTACTGTTACTCAAATTTGTGCTACCCAATTTTCAAATCTGTGCTTTTTCATTATCCTAATTTGCATACAAATTCATCACATTTTATAGCTCCTTTACATGAAACTGTTGCATACATTGCTCAATGCTGTTGAGATTTATCTCTGTCTCGATCCTGCTAATAAAAACAGGCAGACAGCACTCAGCAGAGCCAGTGCACAGACATTAATCATGTTTCACTGCTGCTGGTAGAATCAAAGAAGTATCAAGTATGGAGAGATCTCTATCTACAGCTTATTAATCATGGTGTGTCCAATTTCAAAACCTGCATAAAATGACTGACTCAATTTTTCCACCTGTATAATGTACCTATTGCTGCATCATACCCCAAATGATTACCTATACAATACACATAGCAAATGTGGATGTTACCATATGATACTACTACCTACTATGATTTAATATGAGTAGATTTAATAAAACATGATAAAAACAAATGAAAACATACAGCTGGCGTACAAGTCGATATGTACTCTTAACAAGCCTAATCAAATCAAAACCATGCATTTCTACAGGAGGGCTGTTCACGGGCCCTGTGTGCGGTCGGACCGCACGGCGCACACAGCCTCCAAGCTCCGCCCACTGCGTCCCTACGTCAGCCTTCCGTCACCGCACACAGCGATCTCTGTGCCCGGTCGGGACTGGCCACAGCGGACTGTCCACCGCATGCAGCCGTGACGTCAGAATCGCCTACCCATCCCCTACCCCCACGCCTGCTGGACGCACCGCACACACCGCACGCAGCAGTGTGCATGCCCGTGAACACCCCTAGGGTTTCTAATAGCATAAAATACACCTGATCTCAATGTTAAATGCCTACTCATAAGCTTTATTAATTGGCTAATTATTTGATTTCATATGCTAATGGTTAATGGTTGATTTCATAGCACACTACATCTCAATATAACAGCACAGCCAAGTAGGTATCATATCAGGCAGGGTAAATAAAACAGTACCTAGGCTAGGTACCTACCTACGATATTGATATAGGTATAGGTATAGGTATATAGATAATGGACTTGGGGTAGCAGTATGCTATTTGTTGTCCATGTCATTGTTGGCAAGGAAACATGTCAGGGTACTCATTGAGGTTGGAGGTCACAGGTCACAGTTGGCTTTGAGCTGGAGGTGCTTATCTAGCTTAGCTTTAAATGTAGCAGTGGTGTCAGCAGACACAACATCATCTGGTAGCTTGTGCCAGTCATTAGCCACCCTCTGTGAGAAGAACCTTTGTCTGGCTTGATGGACTGACTGCTCCTTGTGTAATTTCATATGGTGACCTCTTGTGTTTGTCGTCCTCAGTTTGAAAAACTTCTCTCTCCTCACATTGAGCTTCCCTGACATGATTTTATACGTCTCAATCAAGTCGCCTCTTTTTATCCTGTCTTTAATAGATACGGTCTTCAGGACTTTTAGTCTTTCTTGGTATGGCCTGTGCTTTAACCCCCTCACCAATCTTGTAGCTCTGCGCTGGATGTTTTCGAGGAGACTGATATCTTGAACAGCTTGGGGACCCACAGCTTGTATACAGTAGTCCAGGTGTGGTCTCACATATGAGTTGAAGAGGCTGGTGAAGTTTGTTGCTGTGATTTGGTCAAAGGACCTCTTTATCATTCGGAGAGCTACCATTGCTTTGCTCGCAGCTCTTTGACAGTGACTAGTAGGTCGAAGGTCGTTTGTTATAGTCACCCCCAGGTCTCGCTCCTTATCTGTGACTTCTAGTTTGACTCCTCTAATACTGTAAGATCTTTTTGGGTTATGTGGTCCACAGTGCATCACTTTACACTTTTGGGGGTTGAATTCAAGAAGCCATTGTTCAGTCCATTGCGAGAGTCTATCTAGGTCTGCCTGAAGTTGTTCTGAGTCCTCTGAATTTCTGACCTTGCGATAAATCTTCATGTCATCTGCAAACAGTTTTGCGTCGCACTGGACCAATGTGGGCAATTCGTTGACATATATCACAAACAGGATGGGTCCCAATACTGAGCCCTGCGGAACTCCGCTGGTCACAGCCTCTTCTCTAGATTCTTGGTCATGAACTACTACCTTCTGAGTCCTGTCCTGAAGAAAGTTTGTGATCCATTGAAGCACTCCTGCTTTGACACCATAGGCAGCCAGCTTCTTAACAAGTCTTCGGTGGGGCACAGAATCAAAGGCCTTTTTAAAGTCACAATAGATGATGTCCAGTCCACTGCTGCTGTCCAGTATGTGTGTCCAATCCTCCAGAGCCTCTAGAAGATTGGTCAAACATGATTTTCTGGGTACAAAGCCATGCTGTTCTTTGCAGATGAGATCTTTCTCTAATAGATGGTTGAGCAGGTGCCTTTTGATAATTCTTTCCATGACCTTACATGCATGACTAGTCAGACTCACAGGCCTGTAGTTACTTGCCAGTTTTTTGGAGCCTCCCTTGAAGAGTGGTACCACTGCTGCTCTCTTCCAAGCTGTTGGTAGCTGTCCGCTTGTCATGGACTTTTGGAATATCTGCATGAGTGGGTATGCTAGCTCAGGTGCACAGTTTTTCAAGAGAAAGGGGGAAACATCATCCGGTCCTGATGCCTTGTCTTCAGTCAACGTTTGAAGTTCATGGAGTACTTCCTGAAAAGTAATGTTAATATCCTCGAGTGATTCTCCTTCTTCCACCTGACTTTCAAAAGCTGGCAAAACACCGCCTTGTTCTTTTACAAAAACTGAGCAAAAGAATGTTTGTAGTTCATCTGCAATCTCTTTCTTTGTTGCTATCACAGTGCCATCAGGTTTGACTAGTTCCATCACTTTGTCTCTTGTTTTGCTTTGCAGTCTTACATATTTGGCTATCTTCTTTGGCATTATCTTAGCTGACCTTGCCAGCTCTTCCTCATACAACCTTCTTGTCTATGCTAGAAATGAAAAATATGCTAGAAACAGAAAGGAATAGACAGAATGATGAATCACGCACAGGAAAACAGCTTTTAGTTCGACCTCAATTCCAGTGAAACACAATTTTCTGAAGTAAGTGATATCCAACGCCCACGACAACAACTTCTACAATATTTTATACCTTGATTTTATACAAATAACAAACAACGCGTTGTCGTGTTGTCGTCGGTGTTTTCTATGCCCCTGACAATTATGGCGCACCGGCTGACATCCACGTATCATTACTAGTGTTGAACCTTGTCATATTAAAATTCGCTCAAAATTAAGTTAGCTCTCAGAACTATTATTTTTGGTGTGAACATAATTTTTTGAAATTGCAAGTGCATCATTAAGTACCCAATCATCTATTTGCTATCTTATTTTGTGTTGTAAAATCTCGCAAAATTCATCACTATAGTAAACATGTTTTTGGGTTACGTTCGTTTTCTAACATTTATCTCGAAATGCTGGAAATGTATTTGAATTTCTCCGCCAGACATTCCTCTCTATGCTCTCTATAAAAAGGGAATGGTTTTTATTTATACCGTTTTTTAAATAAAACGACCTGTTTGCTCACCTAATTACTTTCGAATGATCAAGAAAAGATAGTTTTTAAGTTTTGAAGAGATATTTATCGGAACTTTCTCAAGAAGAAGTATAACGAGAACTCTGCACTACAAGTTTTGTGCTGCTGCCCTATGCCTGTTGGAATGCTTGAAATTGTGCTGTAATTATAAATATTGAGTCATGTTTAGTTTTTTTTTTATTTTGTATTCTCAAGCCTCAAACCATTGCCTGTGGAATCTGAAGATGTTTCAGGTTATCTCAAAATTAAGGATATGCTCCAGGCAGATATGCTTTGGAGAACAGGAATCCGAATGCATGAATTTAATGGCATGAATCGTACTGATATGGATGCTATGGATAATTGTGCTGGACTGGGAGTGCTGGAGCTCTCCCAATTTCATGCATGCTTTGCTTTGAAGCTGCAACTGACCAGGGTATATTGAGGCAACTGACAGCAGAGGTCAAGGTCACTGCTACGGCGGCAGCGGATTTGCTGCGCCTGGTCGTCCAAGCACCTCCAGTTCGGCACAATTCTTCACATACCTATGGCTTAGGTACATGTCAAAATAGCTTCAAAGCTAATCATGCATGCACACTGAAGGCCCAAGCAAGGATGAGGACTTTACTTGTACAAAGTGTCAAATAGTCATGTAATTCTTTGGACCAGAGTCAAAATTCAGAGCCCCAGCAACAGCCTGAGCCTGCTGACATATAATAGAGCAATATGTAGTCAGTGTAGAAAATCAAAGCATGAAAAACCAGTTTTCCAATTAAAAATTTCAGTCCATCAACTTTGGTTTCTTTTTAAGAAGGCATAGCAAGCTAAAGCCATGCAGCATATTTTTTTCTGAAGTTCATGCACTTACTTGCCTTTCCATAGCAAAGATCTGCCAATTTTTCATGGGTCCTCACTCCTCAATGTACTGTATAATTCCTATGTCTTGGTTTGTTTGTAGAGCATCATATTTTTATTATTGTTACTTCAATTATTATCAATTCATAATTTAGTTATTTTTCAAAATTATGTGTGCCCTAGGGCACATTTAATTCTCATACTCAGTAGATATGCAGAAATAGCCATGGCCAGTTCAAGTGATTGAGTGATGTGTCAGGTCCAGTTATGGAGGCATCCTAAAACTCTTTTCTCATTTTTGACAGCTCAGAATTTCAAGATTCTTTGGTGAGAATTAGGGCCTGTGCAAAAAGTTCCAAGTGCACTGTTAACTGTGCAGGTTCTGGACTGATGAGCCTGCTGACAATTGAAATAAAAAAGTACCTAACTATTATTGCCTAGAATGTGCTGACTGCTTAACCAGAATGTAGAATAACAGGCAAGGGTTTTTAACTTGTGATGAGAAGAACATAGTTCTTTTGAGAGCACTCTGTCTTGGAGTTTATAAGGATTTTGTTGAGAGTTGAGGGTGTAACCAGATGAGCTATTTTTCTCTTATAAGGAACAGTTGAGAATTTCGGGGAATGATTTTGAGCGTTTCTGCACATACATTTTTTATAACCAAGCTTTTTGGGAACATTAGAGGAAGCTGTTGTAGGTTTTACAAAAAGAAATTAAGGTGAAACATCTACTGTTTTCTTTCTTTCAATGCTCACGTTGTTTTTGTTTCAGTTTGACCAGGTACCACTGCTGTGACGATGCCTGGCCGCGGAGCTGGTCGGGGGCGATCAGCCCCAGCCTGGGGCGGCGCCGGGCGGGGACGGCCCGCTCCTGCCTGGGGCGGCGCCGGACAGAAGCAGTCGCAGAGGCCCGCCGCCGTCCCCGCCGAGCCTACCCAGAGGCAGACGGAGCGGCGGTTCGCGGAGGCGTGCGCGCAGATCCGGGCGGCCTCGGAGAAGCACGTCAGCCAGTATCAGCTGTCCGACTCGGAGGACGAGCAGGATGACGTGGATGACGACACCAGGGAGCAGATCCTGGGTGAGCGACCCTCCCCTCACCACATTACTACCGCCTCGCCAGCCTGATGCGCTCGCTGTGTGGGTCTCAGCCCAACAGAGTGCTAAGCTCTGTTTTATTATTGCTTTGTGATGTTAAAGACCGATGCGATTGCGTTAAAGACCGAAAGACCTCGCCAGCCCGATGCGATTGCTATGTCGCTCTTCACTCAACAGCCTGCTGTTAAGGCTGTATTTTATTGCTGTTTTGTGGCGTTCAACACGGGCTTTTAGACGGTTTCTTTCATACATGGTGGCTTTATGTCCTGTGCCTGATGTCCTGTACGACACGCGATTTCACGTTTTTCGGACCAGCAGTGTAAGCACCGGTCATCTTCCATTCCCAGCCAGGTGTTAGGTCGGCTGTCTGACCAGTAACTTATATGTAATAATTTTCAGGTCGGCTGTGTGACCGGTACGCTGCCGATGACAAAAGTGCGCTGGGAAACACGTCCGAATATCTTCAGCGAGCGCTAAATGCGGAGGCGAACACATGCCTTATCTGTATTGGCTCCGTTAAGCGTACAGACCCGGTGAGTGACAATTAGTCCAGAGGCTTGTGCGAACCCTGAGTTTGAGCGCCTTTTAGACCTTGAGTTCGTAAGGTTTTCAATTTGATCCGGGCGTATCGCGTTAAATGCACTTTTATTTGGTTTTGCGCCACAGAAGTATGATCGTGGATGAAATCAAATCGTCATTGATATGTTTTGTAGCTGTTGCTCATCGACTAAATCAATATTTATCTTGTGTGATCGTTGTATGATGTATCGATACGACCCACGTTGGTCTGACAGCGACTCTAATGTTGGTCTGGCAGTTGGACGATGATGGTTGGAGTAGTGCTGGTCTGACGGCGTCTGCTCGGCCGTTCCCAGCTATGGTGCTGCTCCGGCTGCTGGGTGGGCTTCCACCTGCACTGTGTTCAGACGTGGGCGCGCGACAGCATCAGCCAGCAGCAGCGTCGGCTGGAGAGTGGCGACGCCAAAACGGAGGTCCTCCAGTGGCACTGGTAGGTGGGCGGCGGCGGCACGGGTCACAAGCGCTGATCGTTTCGACGTTAGACGCGGATCTTCATCTAATGTTGTTTATTCGTTACAGCCAGCGGCGCCGGTCCACTGTCGCGTCCGGTATGGAGTCTGTGAGAAAGGTGTTTCATCTTGCAATCCGCGCCGCTTCTAAACGTTCGTTCGTGTTATGACTGACTTCATCCGCCCACATCGTATTTATCTGACGCCGCTCCTTCCCTCTGTCAGCCCCAACTGCCGGCGCCCGTACGGCCGGGACCAGGTGCCTAGTCGGTACCGCTGCTACTGCGGTAAGACGCCCGACCCGCCGCCCGACCCGTGGCTGCTACCGCACGCCTGCGACCAGCGCTGCGAGCGACCGCTGCGTCCCGAGTGCGGCCATCGCTGTCTGTTGCAGTGTCACCCAGGTAAGAAGCTGCCAAGAGGCGGAGCTACTAAAGTGCTCCAACACTGGCCCGGGGCATCGTCAGGGGATATGGCAAGCCCGTGGATGCGCAGCAAACCGCAACTGATATGACCTTTATTCAAAGTTAGTGCAAATTCCTGACGCCACGTTCGTACGTTTTTTGTGACCCGCTTCGTCTCCGCCCCCGAGCAGGCTATTCTATGACCAGTTGTGGCCTTGTGACCCACCTTGACCTCCCTAACCCCGCATTGACCGTCCCTTACCGCCCTCAGGCCCGTGCCCGCCGTGCCCTGTCACGGTGAGCACCCGCTGTCACTGCGGCCGGTCAGGACCCGATACCCGGCGCTGCGGAAACAAGGTCTGGTCGTGCCGGCAGCCGTGCGGCCGGACACTCGACTGCAACACACATCCGTACGTACCCATCCATTATGATTTTCTGTGCCATCGCTGCGACTTTTGAGAATTAAAACCTGAATTTGTGTATCGTCATACATTTTGGAAGAGATGCGGTTTATTAATCCTAAGTTAATCGATTTAGTGGGTCGAGGAAGGAATTCCTCGTCTCAGGGGACGCCATTTTCATCATCTGTATGTCTCATTACTAGCACAAAGTTTGCCATTTAAAAGATCGCCCCATGCTGGTCGCGATGAGAAAGATTTGTGCTGCTATGGCCAATGCATGATATGGTCGAAACCAGCTGGAGACGGTTCGTTCAATATCAAGACTCGTTAATTCTGGTGTTATGATATTTTTTTCCCGTTTATTTAGAAGCCAAACAACTGAGGACGAACGCATCTCATAACAAAACACAGGAAACGATGAGCACACAAACTGTTTCCCGAGTGGGGATGGACAGGGTCAGTGTCCCACTGTACATATTAGCACTGTTCGTTGTCATGGCATTTTTAGAGCACACATACAGAGTTCACACGTTTTGTCGTCACTCGCCAGCCAACACTGCGGACGAGCACAGGGCGACCGCGCCGGCGGCAGCAGCAGCGACAGGGCCGCCGCGGGCAGCCGACGCGGAGGACCGGGCGGGCAGAGAACGGAGGGCGGGCGAATCCGGACCAGACGGCCGGCGCAGCCAGCGCCCCAGTGTTATGATATTCGAGCGAGTGTCCGCTGTGTCAGCTAGGCTCTAGCACTGAATCCCCATCAGGTGTACGGAGCTGTGCCACCCGGGCGAGTGTCCGCCGTGTCTACCGTGTCCTCTAACACTGTGTCTGCCACATCAGGTGTCTGGAGCTGTGCCACCCGGGCGAGCGTCCGCCCTGTCCGCCGTGTCCTCTAACACTGTGTAGTGTGTCCTCCACACCAGGTGTCGGGAGCTGTGCCACCCGGGCAAGTGTCCGCCCTGTCTACCGTGTCCTCTAACACTGAGTCCCCATCAGGTGTACGGAGCTGTGCCATCCGGGCGAGTGTCCGCCCTGTCCAAAGACCAGCCGACAGCCGTGTAATTGCGGACATAAGACGGAGCTAAGGCCGTGCGCCTCCCCGCGCTGGCAGTGTGAGAAGGTGAGGATTTGCGGATTTGAAGTTACTGGCTGATTTGGTAAGAATAGTTAGCGAAACCAGACTAGGGTGGGTGGCTACATTCACCTGGTATCTATCAGTTGGGTAAATATGTTTGCGGGCATGTTTCGGGTAAATTGCTGTGTCTCAAGGTGATTGCTATGTGTAGCAATCTCTTGCTGAATAATCGAGCTGATATTCTTGATGGTCTGTTAGCCGATCTTAGCCGGCTGATGAGTGGCCTGTGTTTGAGAGCTGTCTTCTCTCGTCGCCTTTATTTGATCTCCTCCGCCAGAAGTAGCCTCACCCCGCTCCTCTGTCAGGTGTGCGGCCGGCCGCTGTCGTGCGGCCACCACCGGTGTGAGCGTGTCTGCCACTCGGGCGCCTGCGGCCTCTGTGAGCGCGCCGGGCCGCGGCGCTGTCCGTGCGGCCGTACAGAACTGGAGGCGCCCTGTCACCAGGATGTGCCGCCGTGTGGGGATACCTGCGACAAGTGGCTGGCGTGTGGCGTACACCGGTGTGCCCAGCGCTGCCACACGGGCGCCTGCGGACGGGTGAGTGGCGGTGATGGAACAGGGATGTGTGCTGCAGCTGACCGGCACACCTAGCTGGCGGTACTCTGCTGGCAGGGCAGGCCGGAAGAAGGAAGAAATTGCCGGGGGGGGGGGGTATAAAGTATGCTTGCTTGCTTACGTGTGTTGAAGTTGGGTTAACTCTAAGCCATTGATATTCTTTTATTGAGCCCCGGCTGGAGTTTCGACATCATTGCTATTTTTTCATCGAAGACTTGTGGTCCGCCGTGGTGTGCTGGTGGAGAGGTGTGGACATCGTGACAGTGTCTGCAAACGTGATTTTCTCTGCTGCCGGCAGTGTTTGCAACTGCGAGTGAAACGCTGCCGCTGCGGACGGAAAGAGAAGGAGCTCGTTTGCGACAAGGAGTTCACTTGTGACATCAAATGTAAACGACTGAAGGACTGTGGCAAGCACACCTGCAATAGAAAGGTAAGTGGGATGCCTCTGCAGCAAACAAGCAAGCAAATTTGCAATATTCTTTCACGCTCTTTTCCTTCGTGTATCTGCTTTCACATTTAAAGAGCATTCGTGTTCCCCTGCTGTAGCGTACTCGATGAGGAGGTGTGGTCGCTCGGCAAGCTGCGTTTGAAGTGCTATTGTGTCTGATGACCCTTGCGGCTGCTGATTGTAGTGTCCTGTGTGTGACTGATTCCGTTTTCCAGTGCTGCACGGGCGACTGTCCGCCCTGCGAACTGAGCTGCGGCCGGACGCTGCCGTGCGGCCAGCACAAGTGCAGCTCGCCGTGCCACCCGGGCCCGTGCTACCCGTGCGGTCAGACGGCCGAGCTGCGCTGTCCGTGTGGCGCCACGCGGCTGACGGTGCCCTGCGGCCGGCAGCGGGGCGCCCGGCCGCCGCGCTGCCGCCAGCCGTGCCCGGCGCCCACCGACTGCCACCACCCGGCGCGGCCCCGCCACCCGTGCCACGCCGGCGACTGCCCGCCGTGTTCACTGACCTGTGGCCAGCCGCTGCCCTGCGGCCGCGGTCACAGCTGCCCGCAGCCCTGCCATGACCGAGTCCAGCAGCGCTTCGTCAGCCAGAAGAAAGCGGCCACGCCCTGGGAGAAAACGGAGGACCGGGTGGTGACGGTCAGCCTGCCCTGTCCGCCCTGCCAGGTCAGTATATCAGCATGTCCTGCCAGGTCAGACATTCTATCCACCTACCCTGCTAGGCCTGTAAGGCCTGATAGCCTAACCACTATGCCAGGCTGATAGATCTTTGTTTATGTCATGTTTCAGACATGCCCTACATCACATGCTTTGTCTATTCGGTTTGTGGGCAGTCTGACAGGCATATTAACCCGTGTCCCGTGCCGTGTCCGCAGGCCCCCGTGTCGACACCCTGTCTGGGTGCACACGCCGAGTATCCGATGCCGTGCACGGAGGCGCGGCCCCAGTCGTGTGGCCGGCCCTGTGGACGGCTACTGCTCTGCGGAAACCACCGCTGTCAGCAGCCCTGTCATACGGTGGAGGGTGCTCCGGATAGTGAGACGGTAAGTAGCGACCCATCCAGGCCTCCCTTCGTTCTTCTCCCTCCCTCTTCTTAATCGCTGCCAGCCTGTCAGCAGCCATGTTACACAGGTTGAGGGTGCCTTTCCTGTAACTTACAATGAACGGTAATATGACGCTCTGTGTTTGCGTGGATACCTGTCCTTTGAAGTATCGATCCTCCTTTCTGACACAGTCTGTCTTCTTCTCTGACTCGGCCCGTCTCCCCAGTTCCCAGCACTGACTCATTCCATCTCTCCGTCCGCAGGCTGGCACCACTTGTGACGTCTGTGAGGCGGCCTGTAGCCGGGACCGACCACCGGGCTGCCAGCACGCCTGTGAGCGCGGCTGCCACGCCGAGCCGTGCCCGCCGTGCCGGCAGCACCGCCGCCTGCGCTGTCACTGTCAGCTGGGGGTGCTCCATGTCCGATGTCACGAGCTGAGCGAGGCAGACGAGCAGCAGAAGGAGCGGCTGCTGTGTTGTGGCAACCCCTGCCCGCGCACGGTGAGTAGCGATAGGGTGTCTTTTCGAACACGATTTTTTAGCGTGACTCTGACCTCACATAGTAGTTTTTGCGTTTGCACGGCAGCATGGATGGTAGTGCTCGGATAGTCATAGTCCCCGTTTAGTAAATTGTTACCCCTACATCGTTTTTCCAGCTGACATTTCTGCCGTCGTCAGTGGTGTTTAGCCCTAAGCAGACCCTGCGATATGCAGCTAGGGTTTTGGTTTTCACCTACGTTCTTATACTGACGTTCCGTCCCTGCCTCGCTGTCTCCACAGCTGGAATGCGGTCACCGGTGCGCCGCAGTGTGCCACCCGGGACCGTGCCCTGCCCCCGAGGGCGGCTGCGCCACGCGTCTGAAGCAGCGCTGTCCGTGCGGCCGGCGGGCGCAGACCACGGCCTGTCGGGAGCGGGCGCCGCCGCCCGACTGCGACGACAAGTGTCGGGAGGTCGCCCAGGCCAAGGAGCAGGTAGGTTTGGCGTAGTGGTTTGGCACGGACGGGGTGACTGTTTCAGCGCGTTCTGGTAATAACGGGAGAGTCAGCAGCTGATGGTGAAGTCTAAAATCAGTCGGGGATTACGACATGCGAAATGTTTGTTAATGGTTGCATGTGCGGCTGCTGTATCCATATTTGTATTGGACTTTGGTTTTCATTTATATGTTTGCCCCGATGTTAACAGTTTTGTTGGGCAGCATCAGTTCCAGCCCCTCACGTAACGTCTCCCTGTGCCCGTTCGCCAGGAGCGGGCGGCGCGCGAGGAGGCGGCCGCCGCCGAGGAGGCCGCCCGCCAGCAGCAGGCCGTCGAGGAGCTGGAGCGAAAACTGACCGGCGGGAGGCGAAAGGAGCGGCGCGGCCGGCGGCAGCAGACGGCAGAGCCCGAGCCTTCCTCGGCCGGCCGCTGGCTGCTGCTGGCCGCGGCTGTAGCCGTCCTGGCCGTCACCGCCGGCCTGCTGCTGTACCAGTGAGACGGTCAGCGCGGCGTATCCTGTACCACTGAGACGGTCAGTGCGGCGCCCTGTACCAGTGAGCCACTCAGCAGGGAATCCTGCTGTACTGGTCAGTACGGAGTGCCCTGTATCGGTCAGCGTGGTTCGTGGGGCTCCCAGTTACCGGTGACTGGTGGTACCTTTAAAGCACTATTAATTGTTTGGATACAGCCCGGGTTGGATATGCTGTATCAGCACCTTCCATTGTAGCCCAGCTGATCCAGTGTTGTGACACAAGGGACTGATTTTAGGCCAATAGCCCTTATTTAGTAAGGCGTGGACATTGCATTCGAATCATGACTACAACAGTGAACAAACTGAGCTGATATGGTCCCATTTATTGATGGGCGGACCACTTTAAGGATTTCATTATTTCGAGTTTGTGCCCGATAGTGGCTCGTATCGATGCAAAATGCAAATGGTGCACGGGTAGGGGATTGCCCATTGGACCTCTGGAGAATCGTCCTTAGGTGCTGGTGCCGGTCCCTAGGAGCTGCTCACTTACACTACATGACAGGGTCACTTGGTCAGTGGCTGTCTTTGTTATAATTTCAAAGTTTGGTTGCAGAGTTACATTGTTGTGCATTTTACGTTAATATTTAAGTGTTAGTTTGGGTGTTAGCGGGTTTTGTTGCGTTGTCTTTACTCTGGGTTGTTTTCTACTTTGACTGAGCTTACGGTATATTGGCTAGTTCATCACTGTGTCGTCACGAACTGGCCTGAACGTTCCTTGGCATACCGGGCGGCGATTGTGGTCTAGTAGCCCTGCACAGGTGTAACTATTGGAGCAATCTGGGAATGTTTTATAGGAAGGGTTGGTGATAGAGGGTGCACAGAACGGGGTTCAGCTAAAGATAATGTGATTTGGTGTACAGCATCTGAAGTGCTTTGCATTGGTGATCGTTTGTTCCGCATTGGGCATGATCCCACGGGCGGACAAGTGTTAAAGGGTTGTTGGGCTGGACCGGTATCTGACCAGATTGGGTCAGTTTGGGCTGGGCTGTGATAGTGGGTTGGTCTCCCGGCATCACCGATAGTCCAGCTCTGGGGTTTGTCCCATCCGAGCTGAATGCACCACTCTCACTGGCCCCTGCCGGGAGGTGTGTACAATACACCTGCACACCGCTGTTAGTCTGTGTGTCTGATGAGGATAGGATAGGCTAGCCGTGAGCGGCTGTATGTACGCCTCTGCGCTGATAGTGGGGACAGGGTCGGACCCGGCCCGGCCCACCGCGAGTGGTGAGGGACGCCCTAATCTGACGACTGGCGACGCGTCGAGGCCCGATTGCTGACCGGGCGGCCCACTGCCGTACAAAGGTCGAGCCTGCGCCCGTCTCCCGGACAGCGTGCCGCAAATGGGCGGGGATTGGCACCGCGCCGGCGGGGTGACTCAGGCAGACAGAAACGCATACACATTCACACATACACCAGATAGGCAGGTAAATAGACAGACATAGGAGCACACACCATTACGTATGTTCTGCCGGAAACCCGAATGTACCAGCGACTGCTGCCGGTTATGTCTGGTTGGTGCCGTACTAACGCATGGGGATCTGCTCAGTTGCAGTTGTTGACAGATGTTGTTGACAGGTGTGGTGACTGGTGAGGTCAGAGCTGTGAGAGTTGTCCCGGAAGGGGGTCACGGAATCGAATCGATGTCGAATCGATCGTCAAAACAGGCTGTCGTTTTCGAGCGGCAGACGTCATCAGCATCTGCACAGTAGTTGCTTAGCGGTGCGACGCGGCTTTTTCTCTGGGGTAGGCCATGCATATTCCTGCTAAATGTCCGTCTCTCAGTCAGATTTGGCTCTAAATGTGTGGCGCATGAACGAAAACCGCTATCATTGCGGGGTAGGTCCATACTCCATAGTCCATATAGTGACTTACTTCCTCAAAAACAAACTATAAAATAAGATAAGACAAGTGATAGAAGTCTATGAAAATAAGACGGTCGTTCAGTTGTAGTCGAATTATCTTCGGGAAAATCCGGTCGCTGAGCGTTGATAAGCTCGTCTCGCATCGTTTATCTGGCGTATCCTATCAGGGTGTGGTCGAAGTTCGTGTTTGACTGGGAGTGCGAGCCGTTTATACCAAACTCGATTGATCGTATAACGCTGGTCTTCCCCACATAACGCTGCGCTGAGTTGGAGTCATCAATCAAGCAGTGTTTACTCATGCCATCTGTTTTGATGACACTCCTTGTCCCACATTTCTATAAACATAAGTTCTCTCTCAGGTAATTTGAAACTTTCGGGGGAAAAAACTTCAGCGTTGGCGTAGGAGGGAGTGTGTCAGCCTCGACACACCACTCATGTGCACCCGCCCAGACCCATCGCCCTTCTCCCCCCCCCCCCCCCGACTGACAGTCCTCCACTGAGAGGTGGCCTGAATCCGCCCCTGCCGTCTCCGGGCGGCCGTCGGACCCGGCCCGACAGACGAACAGTCGGCCGGCCGGCGGGCGACTGTACGGGAGGGTGCCGATGAACACGACGGCAGCCGGAGGAACCATGAACAAGTCCACGCTGCCCGGATTCGGCGTCGAGATCAAGGAGGTCCAGTATGAGAGCGTGAGTAAAAGCTCGTCGTGTGTTGGCGACTACCGCCCGTGTCCGCTCGCCGCTCGGGTTCGGATATGTGTCGAGTATTCTGTAGAATGCTACAGTATCTGGGTCTCAAAGTTCGGTGGTAAACAAACGTTCCTTGTTTGGTCGGTCGCTCCCTCAAACCGCTCAACCCGTTTTTCGGTACACCTACCCTTTGTTTACATTGTGGGTAGTGGAGTATTGGAAGACATTCTGCGGTCACAAAGCGACCAACCAATCCTGCTTGTTTGTATGCTAACGAGATCCCGGCCAATCGGTACGAAAGCTTACGAGAAGGGCACTCGTGTTACGATTATTGCAGGCTGATCAATTCTGATCAATGTTATGTTGACGATCGATGCATATGCCGATACATTATGCTCGATCAGTGCATTATGACCGATGCACAAGCACATATAAACCGTGGCATCAAATGTCATTCTTGGCATTGAGACCAAATGCATGGCTGACGATGATTGTGTATTGTATGGGCTGCTCACTCTAGATCGAGTCTCGATTCACCCCACTCACACCGTCTGTACCGTGCGTACCGGCAGTTCCTCGACTGGTTGGTGGCGTTCCGTTCCATCGATGAGGCGTGGGCCGCCCAGCCGACCTTCCTGCTCTCCGAGTACGCCTACTATGTGATCGCCGTGCTTACACTCTGCCATGGCAAGTTAGGGGGAGGGGGCATAATGCCATGGTGGGGTAGCCAGCACCTCACACTAAGCTATGGTGAGACTGCCTGCAGCTAAGGCTGGAGAGACATTCTGTCATTAGGTGAGACTGGGAGGGTACGTAGGTCATCGTGAGGCTTGGGTATGCGTAGTAAACCACATGTGTAGTAAAGCCCGAACGACTTTGTCGGCTTATTCGGAAAAAAAATCCCCGATGTTACGTTTTTTGACGGGTGACGATCGTACAGATATATGTCTACAAACCAACAAGAAAATCAACATGCGTCAGGCAATGTAACCTGGGTAACGATTGATCTATTCGGTGAATGTGGTTGTGACGCCTAACCGTCTGTGTGTGTCCCTGTGCGGCAGCGTTCTACCTCGGCGGCCGGTGGCCCTACATGTGGCTGGGCTCTCTCATCCACGGCCTGGTCATCGAGAACATCTCGATGAACATCCCCGACATCGAGAACTACTGGCAGTCACAGACCACCATCGTCTTTCTCGGCAGGAAGATGCCGCTACACATCATGCTCATTTGTGAGTCCTCCGCCACGATAGCCGCTATCCCCGGTACCGGGTCTGGTTACCATTCCTAGGCATCAGCCTCCGTCGATGAACGACATTTCTTCCTATTGTTTATCGATGTGCACTACTCGGTGTTATGGAACTTCGCACAACAGTGTCAGCAAATGTGCTTATTCTGCTTTTGTTACGCATTAAATTCTAAATTTTGTCACTCACGGCTTTGGTGGCGCCAGACGGTCTAGTCTGTAACACGAGTGACGTGTGATGACATCGCAACGGATTCTGTTATGGAGTATAACATTTTCACATGTGTGCCGCCCCGAATACCTCTAACTGTAACTGTGCATTTCCCACAGACCCCGTGATGGAGTATCCCGCCCACTACTGCGTGGCCCACCTCAGACTGCCGCGGTACGCCCAGGCGCTAATGGGTGAGTGACGACGAGTGAGACCGTGTCCATAACAGCCCGCCAGTGGTCCTACCGTACGGAGGCTAACCCAGCTCATCAGGTCAATAAATCACCTGGATTGTAAATGAATGGGTACGAACAGACGTGTCTGATGGCTATACTTTCGGTGCTAATGTCATATATCACCGTTTATCCGTATGCGTGACGCACTGACGTTCTCCGACTGCCAGGTATCATCTGTCCGTCCGTCTGTCGGTCGGTCCTTTCGTTCAACCGACCGTCCGAACGCTCGTCCGTCCCTCCTTCCTCGTCTAATGTACTGCGCCCTCTCGACGATTAATCCAACCACGGCCCTATCGGCTCCACCTGACGGCCTGCCCCGACCCCCAGCCGGCCTTCTGGAGGTGCTGATCGACCTGCCGTACGACATCATGTGCGTCCGCTTCCTGCACTGGACGTGGCACGACACGGACCCCAACATCTTCGACCGGCACTACTGGGTGCCGTGGAACTCGTACTACTTCCACCTCTCCTTCGGCGTGTCCTTCTACTTCTTCCTGCAGCTGTGGCGACGCGTGCTCACTGGCGACGACTCGCACGGCCACCACGGAGGGTGAGAGCGGGGGACGGGGCAGGCCTGGCAAGAAGTCGGGCTTAATTTATCAGATATATGAATAAGTAGCGATCAAGGAAGTGCCGAGCATTGCAAGAGCAAACCCAACGAACTCCACTATCAATTATTTCAGTAGTTAATTGCCCACATAACTCGGCAGCTGTCACGACTGACAACCGATGGGGGAATGAGTAGCCCATCGGTGTCGTAAATAGCGCACTAGCATTGCCCCAGTGTGCGGGATGCGAGCTTTTCGGTCATGTCGTGTATGACATTAGGCATGAGCTCACTGACATGATGTGTTCAATGTCACAGGGTGGGTCGTGAGCTGCTCTGCGCGCTGCTGGCCGGCATCTGCGGTATGCCAGGCGGCGTGCTCCAATTCCTGCCGCTCTACCACCCTCTTCACGACATATTCGGCGTCCACTCAGAGAATACGCTGCTGATGATCGCTGCGCTGTACGCGCTGATGGTGTGGAGCGCCGACCGACAAGCGGAGGACGGTTCCCGGCCGCGGTTAGGTGAGAAGGGGAAGGCCGAGGGGAGTACCTGGGGGAGAAAAGAGGACAGGTAGATAAGAAGAGAGAACGGTGAGGTAAGGCGGAGACGGGCAGGTAAGAGGAAGGAACGGGCAGGTGAGAGAAGGGTCTTTCTTAAGATCTGGCAGGTGAGAGGAGAGACCACTAGACGAAAGGCTAGACGACGGGTCGGGAGACGGCAGACCAAAGAGTGAGGGCTCTAGCAGACCATCGAGTGAGACGGCGCCTGACCATAATTGGCTAGCCGTTAGGGAAGTCACCGTTGCCGGCTACCATTCAATAACCAAATGGGTAGCATCTCGAGACGACCGTCATCTATGATAGTCAAAGGCTGCCGATATGACTCCGAAATGGCTCCGTTCAGGGCATAAAAGAACTCCGATTCCCAACCGTTCCCTCCGTTGGGTGTGGGTTAACCGTGTGGCATGTATTCCCAGGCCAGAGGAACCGGCCGTACCTGGTGATGTTCTGTCTGCTGCTCCACTACGCCGTCTACTGGAGCATGGCCGTGTTCTTCAACCCCGAGGACGAGATCTCCATCGGCCTGCACGAGAAGGTCGGCCCCTGCGACGTCTATCAGGACGTCCACACCGCCTTCGGCATGGTGAGTACAGCAGACGAGCCAGTCGAGTACCCGTCTACAGAGTCGCCATACGCAACGGCTCTGAGCGAACTGAACGAGGATTCGATAAAAATGTAAACGAGCTAACTGAATGGTGGGCACTTCATTTTAGCGTTGTTTGTAAACGGTAGACTTTACTATGCATCTCCCAGCAAGGTTTTAAGTGTCCCGAACCGAGCCACCGATAGTGTGTGAACGGACACGCAACTCAGCCAGACTTTCAACCTTTACACTCGCGAACAGATGCCCGCTTTAACGAGAGAGGCACCCATGAAAAAAATATTTGAGAGAAGTTGAGCTAAACGCTGAGTCGAGAGCACCTCTGCTGCAGCCCAGTGTATGTCCAGTTGATCTTGCCCTTCCGCCGTCGCTGACGCCCCGTGTACTATATCCCTGTGCCACCAGACGCTGAAGAAGAGAAAATATCTCTGCGCCACCGATTACGACGAGGGCTACTTCGACTTCCGGTGTCTGCCGGGCGGCCGGGTACCGGCTCACGGTGCGCGCTGGTACACCATCTGCGGCGTGCCGTTCGCCAACCGCGCCGAGTATGTCTCCATGATCACGGCCATCACGGTGTTCGCGCTGGGCGTGTTCTATCAGTGTCTGTTCCGCTCCGGGCCGCAGGTCCAGCCGGCGCGCCAACAAAAGATGAAACGGTTCTAGGAGAGCGATATGAGGGCTCGGTTCGGTCAATAATACATGCTACATCTGTCGAGCGTCGGTGTTGGTAAGGGAATGAGGTCGAGACACGCACTCGGTTAATGACGCTTGCAATTATGAACGGGAGTTAATATGATAAATCATTAAGCAATACCCGTGTTGGCGACGTGACATCAAAGCCAACGACCTACTAGCCAGTCGGCAATCATGCAATGAACGGATAAAAGCGATTGTTGAGCGATACACTGTTTGCGGTTATCAGGGCGATAGCTGTTTGATCAATACGATCAACTAAAACGATCCAAGGACTGATACCGCTATCAACAGTCCCTCAAACATCGACAGGCCGCCCGCTCACGCCTTGCATACACACTGCAGAAGCTCGTGGGCTCTACTGCGGTTGAAGCTGTAAATAATCTTAAATCCTCGACAACTTTTCCGCAAACTATCCGCTCTGCGGGCAGGTGGCTCCATCTTGTAGTTGGTTACCACGCGACCTGTGGAGTGTGGCGCCACCTGACGTGTAAACTCTTGGGCCAGCTCACATGTTCAGTACAGTGATATCTACATCACGTCCCCAATTCCTGGATAATAAATGTCATTTTACGCATATCCATGCCAATCCTGTCAGCATCTTGGTCAATAGCGCTTTGTATTGAATGCAGCATCACCACTGCTGTTTCCCTCCAAGCTGCCTGGACAAACTATAAAATGTGAAAGCCAATACCACAATTAAAGATATTTCCAAGAATGCAAGGCCATTGACAAGATCATGACTGAGAGAATGCTAATTGCTCATTCTTAAATGGGTAAAAGTTTCTGGTGAATGATAAAATATAATAATGAATATAAATGTCAGTTTATCACGATGAAGAATTTTTATCATGTAATTATTCATTGGTAAAAGATGATAGCAATACAGTTCAAATAATATGTATTCATATTTCATTAGACATCTTAATCTTCTCATGACAAATAGTGAAGTAGATGTTAGACATAAATCATATGAGCTTGCTGAGAGTTGAAACAGCATTGTTCTGACACCTCCATGGGGCCTAGACATGATAGCATGAAGCAGAAACATGCTCTATGCTCTGAACTCTGAAGTCTGGACAAATGCATTTGCCTTGGTGCTTTCTGTATCACACCTCCAACACAGTACTTGTCAGTAGGTACATGACAAGTTTTAGGGTACTTCACAAATAAGATTCACTGATGTTGAATGCTTTACTTAGGTCCTCTGCACTTGAATGTGGAACTTGCAAGCTGGCATGTGTGTAACTTCAGCTGTCACTACACAGTTGAGTCCCAGGTTTGACAGTGCTCCTCGCATCATGCCACACATGTAAGCCAGGTACTGTGGACTGCACTCCAAGTACTGTTTGCCAGTTGACATGTGTGATAGGAACCTGAAACGGTTGTCTAACAGCACATAGACACCTTGGTGGTTTGTTCGTAAATTATCAATCTGCTTCCTGTGAACAGCCAACCAAAAGTCTTTACAGATAAACTTCATGGTGTCAAGCTCATCTTTGAATCTTGGCCACTCTCGAGTAAGCCTCTCCACAATTCTATAACCAGCAGCAAACCCTATTCGCTCAAGCTTTGACACTGCATTTTGTCCAGCTTCGGCATCAGACTTCTTTTCATTTTCAACAACCAACGCAACAATTTCATGATGCAAAAACTCAAACAATGCTTCTTCAGCCATTTCCTTGGACCTTCACGTACTTCAACTCGTAGCTTGATCAGCAATTAACAAGATAGGTACTCCTGGAATGAAGAAAAGCAAGAAATAACAGCACACTTCGATTTGTGCCTGTGCTGTGAGTCTTTGACTCGATCTAATCCGCTTCAGCTTTGGCTGCAAGCTGGTAGCCTGTTTCGGCAATTTGAATCGGCAGCAAACTGCAGGCAGTCTTCAGGTGAGCATTTCTGAAGCACAGAATTCCAAAACTGTGAAATCCTTCTTAAATTTGCAATTTAGCTAGCAGGCCTCACAGAAAACTTCAGCATAAGCAAGGCTATATAAACCAGGTAGAACGCTCCGGGAAAAAAAGTTGGAAACAATAAATTAGTTGCGGCATTCCCTGATGACGCGAATGTGGGTCAGCGGCCGGCGGCCGGCGGCCGCTAACACTGTATGAGGATGCATGCACGGAACTTTTGCTTGTTGGAGATTGCGCTAGGCAGATAAATGTTAATGTTAGGATATGTTTCGAAAGTAAATTGAACGACGCTTCGAACGCCGTCAATTAATTTGCGATACCATGACTATTTGTTTAGTTAAAGCCGGCGAACTTTTACCTTCCGACCGCGCGGGGAGGCGATACGGTGCCACACTGACGGTTTTTACGATAACTCAAAATTCTTTTGAGCTAAAGAGCTGAAATTTGACATGTACAATCTTTTGATCAAGCTGGATCTTCTGGTACAAGTCGCATATTTAAGGTACGTCAGGTTGTTGACCTATGTTATCGCTCGTGAGCCTCTACACAGTCCAAAAGCAACGCAATTTCTGGACACTCAGTGCCAAGAAATCCTTCACAGAAAGATGACACTTGGCAGAAAGAAGAGCTGTCGGTTTCTTACCGTTCGTATGTGTCGTGTTTTCACAAGAGTTTAGTAAGGTCAGGTCCCTCACGTGACCTCCCCTCATAACTCAATAGGTTTACTATCATAGAAGCGTTTATCAATCGCCGGAAATCTTAGCCAATCCCACTGGACACTGGATCTATACCCACATGGGGCCCTCCTGACTGGCCACTCCCTCTGAAATCCACAATAACATTGGGCTGCGGCCACGGTTATGTATTAATGCTTTTCACTAACAAAAATACAACAACTTCAACCAACACAGTGCAAGCAGCCACAACAGTCCGACCCACGTCCCTGATATCGACTAGCACCCGGCCGGATGCACATACGCGGAGCCAATCATTCCGAATGTGACCTGCAGCTTACAATTGCTGTGTCGCATGGCGCATGGCACAGGATGATTCCTAGCAGCTGTCGGGTGGAGTGGAGAAACAGCACGTTGCGACACACCGCGCCGGCGACAGAGCTCAGCAGGCCTGGTTGGAGGCTGGAGCCGGAGGTAAGGGCGGACACAGGCACAGACATTGCAGGACAAATAACAGGATGTCAGTTAGGGATATAATTCAAGACGAATGATTCAAGACGGCCTGAAATAATGCAAATTTTGCTCACTTGGATAGTGGATACCAACTTCAAACTTGACGTTTATAGCACCACGGAAACAATGGGCGCACAGGAAAGAAACAAAAGATGGGGTGTTTCTAACGCAAGGAAGTAAATAGAGGTTGCATATGATGGAACAGCCCGAAGTGCAGACAAGCACATATTTTTGGTAATAGCTATCAGCCTATCAGCTGTCCTACTACTCTTCTCCCTTCATCAACTACTGGACACATCTGAAGCATCATATATAGGTAGCACCAATGTCCATAACAAATGCTTGGAAGTAGTTTTATGAAGCCAAGGGAAATACATGCTAACATGCCTACATCATGCATGTAAACTCAAAATTACACAGGCATGACAAAGGAAGCTTATGTAAAGAGAGTAGTTAGCAAAAGCATTTCATAGTTAAAATAATTCAAAACTGCACAGTGCACACAGGGCAAACATAAATAGCAGTATGTGTGCACTTTGCTGTTCAGTTATACTAAGAAATAGTTCAAAACAAAATACATCTTTTCATGTTTACTGGTTGTTCTCTATGCCACTTCACCCATATCTTGATTACAGATGGGCTGTTACTGTAGGCTGATGAAGTGACACTTGGTTGCCTTTGTGCGAGTTTCAGTTGCAGCCTCCTAGGTACTGCACTGGAAAGCAGATGAATGCCTCTGAAATATAGGAATATAGGCAAAGTTAGCTGTAGTAGTGTCAATGATAATAGACATGACATATTTGTCCTTTGACATACATTTGTTGAAGTAAAAAAAGGTACAAAATAAATTGGTTTGTTTCAAGACACGCTCACGGCACAAAGCCGCACAGACATTACACAGGCATATGAAATTGGTACACATAAAACTTGATGATTAAAAAGGTCAAAACTAGCAATAATAATAATTGAAGTAAAAGTTACAATCACAATCATTTCATTTAAAATGACTTGACATAAGTCACAAGACGCAACGCTCCTATTCACTAAAGAAAAGTTTTTATGCTTTCATTATCCTCCACATATCAACCAGCTTGATACCAGGCTGTGCAATAGTGGGTACATAACCCCATGTTGCCATTTTATTAGAGCAAGTGGGGTTACAACAACAATGCTAATGTCAAACCCACATCTGCAACCCGTACTGCAGTTTCAATCACCTTACATTGCTTACAAGCACACCTTCTGGCAGTTTGATAGGCAGAATGGTCATTACTACCAAGGCCATCTATAATTACTACCTTCTCCTCATATTCAACACATATTCCATTTATACAGATACAGTTAAAGGGACCCTCCCACCTTAACATTAGTTTTGAGTTGAGATAGCCAAGTTTGCGGCCAGGCTCAGAAACCACCATTTATCCTGGTCGCAACCCCCGCAGCTTTATGGTGTTCAAGAAATTTCTTCCCTTTACTTGCAGGGTGGGACCAGCGTGGTCCCTATCTCTTAACCATTACGGGAATCTGATGACGTCATCAGGCTTTCGAACGTCCGTTAAATGTTTGACTAAAACGTTTTGTAGCACGCGGTGGTATATGCTGCTTTGCGCGCAACAAATGCCGCACTTTCAAATAAAGTCGCTAGGAACAGCGGAGATCCCAAAAAGTAAACAAAAGTAAAAGTCTAATATCTTGAAAACCGGTGAATATTTTTCGATGAAATTTGGTAGATATTCGTTTTTGCTCTTTCTGAACCGAGCGACATCACTTTCATGCCAATTCATTAACTTTTTTGAAGGTGGGAGGGTCCCTTTAAGACCTGGTTATGGCAAGCATTTTCGAGAAAAGATAGGATAAGAGTCCAAGACAAAGGTAGAGAGAAACAACACCAACATAAAACACCGACTATGTAGCACT